AATTCTATCAGCCGCCGACAAAATTGGGGCAGCTCCAACTAGCCGGTCTGGCTCTTCATCCCTGCGCTGAAGCAGGTTACACAGAAGTGATGCCGATGCAAGTGCAGCTAGCAAACTTGAAATTGAATCTCCTGCTCTCGCCTGCTGCTTGATGCGATGATGATGGGAAATCGCTAAAAGCCCTCGTGCGCGCCACCGATCACAGATTTATGGATGCGGGGCTGCTCATTGGCAAGGCCGGAGTGCAAAAATTTTCATAACGAGCAAAAAAGCTGCATATGATTGATTGCCTTGCGGTGTTTCATTGCCAGAGAGCAATGAGGTTTTGATTAAAATTAATTTTAAAAATTATCTAAAAAAATTGTTAAAGTGAAATTCCGACATATATGTAATTTATATTGACGATGGTTTAATAATTAATAATACTCTATCACCTGGATTTATAAAAAAAAAACTTGATTTAAGGCTATTTTCGTATTAAAAAAACTTTAAGCCAAATTAATATTTTATTAATATTTTTTAGTTTTTAAAGATTTTATCAGTATTTATGTGGAATGAAAAATATTTGAAATACTGAAAAACAGATTTATTTTTATTGAAAATGGGTATACAAGATTTGCTTGTCACAGATCTCATAATTCTGAATCAATAAGATATATACGTGTGATTCCAATATGAAGCAGACGGAAGTCTGTTGTTATTGAATGCAAAAATATTTGTGGTGGCCGTAAACAATGACGGTGTAGTGTAAAAAGTATGTTAACTAAAAACCAGCAAAAATATATATGAATTGAATTTCAAATTTTGTTTTACGCCACTGTCGTTTTCATCAATAAATAAACATTTAAAAGTGCATAATATATCAAAAACATTTTTATGTATAGATCAATATTCTATTTGTGTTTGTTTTAACTATTTCGTAGCAAAGTAAACTAAAATACAAACTCATTTTAAAAGTTTGCATTGTTTATTTCCACAATGTCAGTAAATTAAGCAAATTTATTAATGCAGTCCTCCCAAAAGTGGCACACTCGAAAAAGTTGCGTGCCGTGCGTTGTTCAAAGAGGAGATAAAGAGAATCAAAGTTTTATGTGGCTTAAAAGTTTTTAGGTGGTGCGCATACAGCGGCTAATAGGGAGCTCACGTGAGCACCGAGGATGCGAAATGACGCAGCCCGGAGCCTTTCTGTGCGAAATTAATTTGTTGACATTCACGAGGGTAAACTTAAACCCACGCGGCCGAGTTATGCTGATATTGCGTTTCTCCTTGAAGAGAATTTCGGAGTAGAGAGCGCCGGAAACTCGATCATGATGTGCCCTAAAACTATTCCAGCACTCGGCAGTTGTTGAGCTCGTTTTGTGTGCGCCCCGTGCTTACATAGAATTTGATATTCCGCCGCCGAGCTGTACATAAGCGCGCGGGTAAATGGATGTTTCAATACAGTTTGCAGCGAAGCCAAATGACCAGTATGGGTGCCCCGAGTGTGCTTTTTATTCCCCCTGGTTAGATTAAAAATCAGATTAAATGACGGTGGCGGCGGCGGCATCCTCTCTCCAACACTCGAGCGACAATATTATTTCCATAATCGATGCCCGCATAATTTCCACCACCTTCCTGCTCCCTCAGACTGCTTTTTTTTTGCTCCGCGAAAAAATGTATAATGGGGATGACGGGGTTTTCGGCAGAGTGGCTCAAAACTTCCGACCATGCTGTTTTTTTCTTTTATTACTTTCAGTTGAAAATTATATACTTGTTTTCATAGCTGCAAAATATTCAGAATAATTTTATTGCAAAAAATTTCTGAAAATTAACATCATAAGAAAAACACAATAAGACTCTGAGGTATATCCAAGTTAGAATTCAGCAAACATGAATTCCACTTTGATATTGAACTTTTTCAAAGAAAAAATATTAATGTCAATGGAAAGTCATGACATTCTTAGCTATTTATATATTTGTAAATTGTGAAAAATATATGTGCACAATTGAGGCTCAAAAGGGTGTATACGAAGAAACGGTGCAATATTTTACAGTACATACATCGAATTCTTTGGTCAATTTTTTTTACGACAGATCAGTTATCAATTAAATTTGCACGGATATTATGTAAATTAAAATAAAAAAGCTAGGTAAACCAAAACTCGATGTACCTTTAGGTATTCACCGCCACCAAAAGCACACCTTCTAGCACAATAAATATACTTATCATAATTTATTTAAATTTTGCATTTTTTGCCTTTTATGTGTTTGTTTTAAGGGCAACAAAAATAAGTCCCCAATTTGAATTTTACTAATTGAAAATAATATTATAAATAAATAAATATAATATAATATAATATTGAGAAAAAACTGTCGTACAATGAGAAATTTGAACATTTTTTTATTGTTATTGTTAAAATTTTTTTTTTTTTATTAAAACTTGTTTTAAATGAACAGCTGTTTTCTAAGCTGTAATCTGCGACAGACTGTATGTGGCTGCGTGTAATCTTAACCTGTGCAGCACACTCGAGTTGGTGTCGTTTGTGTCGTTCGAGCGACCACCCTCTCTGCTGCTGCTGCTATCACCAAATTCCGACGCCCCTTTTAAGTGCGAGGCAGTTGAAACTGATGCTGTACATAACACCTTAATTGTGTGCGAACGGTGCGCTGCAGAAAAAGGCGGTCTGGATGGATCATCTCGGTGGCCGTAATGACATAAACAGCCTCCTTTACGGCCCCTCGCCGGCTGCGCGGCGATTTTGTAAGACTTCGAAAAACCGGTCTGTTTAGGTTAGGTGCTCTAGTGAGCGAAAATGTTCGCGCACTCATTCGTATTCTCTTCGATTTCGACCAGCGGAGTTGCCGAGGAGGAGATGTGCATCTTTTTATGCTTTTTATCTTGGTACAGCCAAGCAAGGCGAGGACTCTTGCCAACGACCGACACAAATGTAAAATAAATAGATTTGGAGTTGGAAAGCAACCGCATCGGATATGTAAACAGATGACATCTGCTCCCAAGAATTACTTTTCTTCCCTCAGACTCCGGCATCCATTTGAAATGATTTTATCTTCCTTTCATCCAAGGCAGTTTTCAAATAATCTGATTACGAAGGGGAAAAAGTTTATAAGACTTTTTACTATTGGAAAATAATAATGATGCTCACGTCCACAGATATAATATTGAAAAGACTTATTGCAGATTCTAGTCAATCATCATTCTTTTTATTTCATTTGCATCACAACTATATTTTGTAGATGATGTGAAGTATCCAATAAGAGCACCAATTAAATTTAGAAAATATAAAATCATAAGTTTTTTTTTTATAAATAACAAATATCCTTGAAAATTATTTAAATGTGATTAATTGTGTGTTGACAAAACCTTCACACTTAAGAGTGACAGAGGGAGATTTAATGTTTCTCTATATTTAGATTTTTCAGATAAAATACATTTTTAATAAACATAATGATTTTCTTATAAAATTTAGAAAGCAACGACTAAAAAAAAATAGTAATAACTAACCTTATTATTTTTTCAAAATTGCAAATCAATCTGATAGGATTGTTTTTAAATCAAATAAACAAAATTTTGGCTGAATAATTTTACTCTATAACAATACGATAAGTGATGATATAAATCATCGACCCAAGCACAATTTGATTCAAACTGCACCCTTGTCAGCAGCTTTTGAGTCTCACACGATATGACTGGTTGGTATCTCGATTTGCATAATAATATTGTTGAGCATTTCCGATGAATTTCCCCTTTGGTTTATTTTCCAAATTTAAATCAGTAATGCGTCAATGTAGCGAATAAAAAAGCAAATGAAAGCCACGGCCGCAGGCAGTTTTCTTTCCATTACACAGCAGTGCACGACATGAGGTGGAATGGGGAGGGGTGCGCACGTAACTCACATCCCATTATGGCTGATTCGCATGAGTAGGAAAACGGCTGTGAAATAAAAAATAATTTCTCAATAAAGGCACGGTTTTACAGCTTATATATGGCATTAAATTACCGACTAAATAATTTTTGCTCGAAAGTTCCAGTTTGGCAAGAAAAAGTCAAAGAGCTAATCTCTGCAGCAGGACAAGCAGAGCAATAATTCAGCTCTTGCTGTGAAGTAATTTGCCTAAAACCAATATTGTAAATTAAATCCCCGGAACAGGTAGCGTGCCGCCGCAATAAACGCAATAATAATTCCACTCTTCTTGTTTCCGCCGAGCGGAGCAGCCACTTTGCCAACGTAGTGTACTTTGGTTGTTGTACAGGGCGTGCTCGGTGTAGTGAATAGTCGTGGCCAAAGTTGGCGGGTGGTGCTGATGCAACTTTATAGCCGTGGCGGAGAGAGCAGCAGAATAAAAGCGGAATAATATTGTAAATTATTCCCCGCTCTGTGTGTGCATTTGCAATGCTAATCAATGTTGATGAGGGTATTCAATGAAGAAGTTTTTATGTTGCTCGGCGTAACAATAAAAGCGGCGGCGGTGGGGCTGTTATAATAATAAAGCGAGAGCGAGTTGCCGCTTTTCGCACCCCCGCCGAGCCTGAAAACTATTTTGTCCGGCGCACACGGCGCGGTTGCGAGCATGTAATAAGTCGCTGGCCCGTTCATAAACCCACTCAGCAAACTCCTCTTGCACCCATAAACCCACTTTTCTTTGCCCGCCTCTTAATTACTCTTGTTAAGCCCATTAAAATTTTTAAAGAATAATTTGCTAATTAAATAAAAAACAAATTGTTTGACATGAAGATTATGCTTTTCATTAAGTTTTTTATAAATATATTATTAATTGCTATTAAATTTTCCCTCTCATTTTATTTATCAGTGGGTCTTTTATCATGTTTCTTTTATTCTAAAAAAATTGTTGAAATATTTTTTTATCGACTTTTTCATCTATCATGATTATATTGATTGTTAACTCAATAAAAAAAAATTAATAAACCAGTTCAATTTTATGTTTCTTTTACTTACAAACTAAAGGGTAAAGAAGTATGGAAATTATAGCCAAAGGTGTAATTTTTCAGGTACTTTTTATTTTTTTATGCTTTTGTCATTTTTGTATAATATATTTTATTTTTATGGTGAAGGTTATCCTGCCATTAAGGGTAGTAACAAATCTCTTCTCCGTGATTTTATCTGCATGTTGAAGCAATATTCATCATGAGCTTTTCACAAATTTTTCTATACAAAAAGTAAAATTCTCAGCGCAACACTTCAACCTGTCGAGACACAAAAGTTTTCCAAAAAATAATTTGCTGCACAAATTAAGGCAAAGGATAAGAACCTTCTTTCTTGTGATTTTTCTCTGTAAACATAGTCAATGATGATCGTTTAGCAGCGGATAAATTTTATACAAAGCATTCTCTTGTTTTAGTTTACACTGTGTTGTTTAGAGTCACCCTAGTTGTAAGCACACAAGAATGAGATAAATTCACCTTCCCAGTTTTAATTCGCCTCTCTTTCAAAACTTGCTCTTTTTTCTATACAACTTTACATTGACCGCACTCATTGTGCGGGTAACTTAGCAGCGGGCGAGGCAGAAGCGAGAAGTGTGATCAAATACAAATCGTTTTGGTTTTTTGCTTTCATTTTTACTTTGAGTTGCATAAGTACAAGGTTTTTGGAGTTAATCAGCTTGCACGCAGAGACACCTCACATCTTACATTGTGAATCGGCTTTTGTTTGTTTTCTATACAAAACGCGTCTCATCAGCACTCGTTATTTTGATTTAGTCGGCAATATTAATTAAACGAGGATGTCTCTTCATTTTTCACATCGATTGTGAGTATATAGTGGCGAAATCAAGTATTTTGCTAGCTTTTTTCAAGTACATTTAGTAGCAGCGTGTTTACTCCAAAAGTTCACCGTTTATTTCTCATACTTTTTCTCTGTGTAGGTTCGCATCTTTGGGTTTTGTATACACAAAATTTTTACAGCAGCATTTATCAGTTAATGGCACAAAATGCATCGAATTTACTCTCGAGTGACTCGTTTCGAAACAATCATTCAATGAAATCATTCGTTTTTTCATTACTTATTTGAGCGTGGACAAACAGCAGTTGATTGTGAGAGAGAAACCATAATCATTTATAAGTCATAAACTTCATCATCATTGTCGCGGATAAATACACAAAATTAAATTAATAAAACAGCTTCTTGATAATAAATATATGTATAGCGAATATGCGAGAAAAGTATGTAGTGCAATACCGCAAATCGGATTTTAAGGGACTTCTCGATCCCCCACCGAAATCAACCCACATTAGCTAAAGAGAACATTTGAAATGATATTAAAAATTAAAAATACTTAGTCTTCATAAAAGTAAAAAAAAAAAATGTGTGAAACTCTAAAAATAATGATGTGATAAATCAGTTAGTTTTTTCCTGCTTATACCACTGCACGAATAGAGACGGATGTTCGGCCGAAGAAACTATTTTGTGATTTATTTTTCTTTTTGTGGATGGAAAGCGTTTGTCTCGCCTATAACATTGAATTCCTTCGAGGCGACTCGAAAAGATTCCTCGCTGGATGCTTGTCTCGTCTAGTAAAAAGTCATTAGTCGTCAGTCACGTCACCATGCTACACGGAGGTTTATCTGTCTTTCTATCATATTTAATAGTAGTATAGAAAGTTGTTATTTGGCCAGATTTTTTGTTACACGTAAAAATGTGTTTGCATACATTTGGATATGAAAATCATTTAATAAGGTTGACTAATGCCTACGCGAATCCCTGAATCCAAAGTAAAGAGAGTTTTGGTTGCTTAATTAAGTATTAATTAAAGTAGTTGGTCGAAACTGCAAATGCATTGGAAATTTTCTATGGAAAACACAGCCTTCATTGAAAATTAATTTAGTGAGGAAATTGTTAAGTAATAAAATTTGTGTATGCCACTGAACTGAAATACTGCAGATGGGGGGGATCATGTTTTTTTTTATCTTCTCACCACTTTTACCCTAATGATGAAAGAGGCGGTCGTTTTTACACAATATTTTAATTAGTTGATTCACTTCAGCGTACGTTTATTAGCATATACATGGGACATATCACAGCCATTTAAAAGTAATAATCTACAAGAATAGCCCTAAGAACACTAACTATCTATCTGCGTCGCCTATATAAAATGTTATTTATTCGTAACTAAGAGGAAAGTCAGAAAAACACGTACGTTTGAAGTTTTTAATTGAATTATTTATACGAGAGTGTTCAATTATTTATACTGGCGAGAAAGAGGGAAATTTATTTACACGGAGGTAGCAGTAATTAATCAGAGGTATTGGATAAGCTGCGGCCACTCTCTGCGTCTTGTTTTAACAAAAGGCAAAAAAAAGTGAGTGAGGGAGTTAATTTTGTAACTATAAAAGATACAACATCGGCACGGAGGCAAACGGATCGTCGAGCTACTATGTGTATTACGATTTATTTTTTTTATTAACCAGCCAACCTTTAATGCAACAAAAACTTTCACCTATACATTGACGTAAGAATGAATGCGCGGGAGATTATTATAAAGTCTGTTAGTGCTCTGCTCAGTTAAATTGTACAGAACTTTCTCCGGAGCTGAATAGATTTAAATATTGATCACTTCTTTTATCTTTTTTGGTAAAAAGCGTACATTCACTAGATTGGGACTATTAAAACGAACACATACAACAGAAATATATATGGAGGGGCACAACAAATAAATCAATGTTCTCTTATAGGTTAAGTGTTTGCGTGTGCGCTTGGCTGGCTGATTAAATAGAAGAAAGGCGAACAATAAAAATAAAAAAAAAATTTCTTGTGGGGTGAAAATAACTCACTTGGGAGAATATGTTTTATGAAACGTCAAAGGGGCACTGGCTCGTCAAGTCAAATAGTCAAAAGAAGTAAGAAAAAAAATTAATTTAAAGCTTTCCATCTTAATGCAAATTTTGCATTGCAGTACAATGCTAGAAAGTCGCGGCGATTTCAAACTGTACTATGAGAGAAAGATGAGAGTTTGCATCTTTAAAACTACAGAGCAAGACCTTCTTCTTTCTTTCAGCGGCAATTATATGTAGCAGTGGTCTACATTAATTATGGTGCAGTTGCTTTTAGAAGGATGAACACAACACTAGTACACACATCAATTTTATAATTCTTAGAATACGAATGAATTTAGAAAGCCTTTTCATCTATGTGCCATTTTATCTATCCACATTTTTTTTTCAATATTTGGCAAGCATCAAAATTTTTTTTTTTCAAGATTTGCAATTGTGTCTACAGAAGGAAAGTGTTGTGTCTGTGCGATTGCAACTACACAAAAAGTTGCTTGCTCGATTATCATCATCGTCCTGTAATGCTAGTTGCACGCTTTTATTGATAGATGATTACTGTGTATGTGTGTGTGGTATTAGTAAAATGTTATACAAATGTACTAAAATCTAGATATCATCATTTTTATTTTCCATGTTGCTTTGTAATTGCGTATCTCTCACTCTCTAAATATAATTCATCTATTTTCGTATGTACACAATACGGGCTAACTGTGTTCATTTTCGCTTCATTGTGTTAATTTTTTTCTTTGTTAAATTCTATCAATCAATCGATCATGATCGCGTTGAAAAATGCAGTAAAAACCTTATACGTCTGAACATGTATATTATGTATAATATATGCGATTCGGTAAACGCCCGAGTGGCTCTATAAAAAACTACGGCATCAGAAGTCCCAATTTTCATATTAAATGTTTTGTTTTAATTGTTTGTTTGAATCAGTCCGTTTTTCTTTTGCAGGTGATGGCAAATCACTGGTAATAACTGTTGTAGTAGTTATCCCAACAATAATAATATTCGGCACTACCATCGTCGGGATACAAATGCTGCCATCACAGTCTATAGCGCTAGGACTCGAGAGATGCGATCAAACTGTGAAAAACCACTGACTGCAGTTCACCAAAAATCGACGTGTGTCCGCACGAGAAGTGCTGCTGGTCCGAAGAGTCGTTAGCGCTTTCACCGCTGGCTGCGCCACCTGTTCTCTCAGCCTCCACTTGTGAGGGACGTAACCGTTCGTCGTTGTCACTGTTCACAACGTCGATGTCCTCGTCCTCGCTGTCTGAGCAAGAGGAAGGCGGCGTGTCCAGCAAGGGCTCTTCACAAACCACTAACCTATCGTCATCACTTGTGTTCACCACGTCGAGTTCGGCTTCGTCAGCCATTACAATGTCATCCGCCGCAATCTTGACTTGGGTGATCGGCGTCGGCTTTTCAGTCTCGCATTTCTTCATGAGGTCATCGGCACTGTTGCTGTTGTTGTTGAGGCTCTCCTTGGGCACCGATGGCAACTGGATGATATTAATGTTTTCGTTCTGAGGCTCCTCCTCAAGCATCACCCTTTGCTTTTTATTAGGCACCTGCATGTCATCCTCGTCATCAATGGAAGTCAACAGGCGTGGGGTCGGTGGCATGTAGAAGTGGCTCAGCACGTCCTGCACGTCACAGTCTTCGCAGTCATCAGTGCTGATTGACCTTTTCCGTTGGTTGCTCTGAGGAACCTTTTCTACTGCCGGCTCCAGCACGGTGGGTTTCAGGTCCAGCTCAGGAGCACTGAAGGCAGAGTTGATCTGAAAGATGCCCTGGCGTTGCAACTTCTCCTCTCGGGCCTCCTTCTGCAGCCGTTTCATTGTGTTGTTGATGAGAACAGAGCGTCGCAACGAACTTTCGTGGTCCTCAATACGCTTGAACTTGCCGATTGAGATCTTGAGCACCTTGCGCCGCTCTTCCTTGAGTCGGTACTTAGCACTGATCATGCTCGGCCGACCCGTTTTGTTGATGTAGGCGTTGGTGCTGCCGAATCGGACGCACCCGAAAATCGAGTCGGATGACGAGGTTGTCGTCTCGCTCGAGTCAATTTTCATTGTGGGCAGTCGCGACGCCGGTAGGGAGGACAACAATGGACTGACAACTAGGGTGCTCGGGGTCACGGCACTTTGCAATGGCGAACTTGGTGGTGGAATCTTAGGCGAGACGTTGGTACTGATCGGGTTGAGACAGCGGTTGCTTCCTGAAACATAAAAAGGAGAAACTGATTAATATTCATCATTTTTTTTTAATTTTATCAATTTTATTATTATTATTATAATTTTTTTATTATTACATTTATTTATCTTATTATTATATTATTATTAGGTGCGAAAATTTATATGAAGAGGAAGTGTGAAATCAGTTGTGTGCATCACAATTATACTAATAACCTGACGAGCGCTTTCGTTTTCTCGCGTAGCAGCACGACTTATTTATTTTTCAATGATAAAGTTGAGATAACAACACCTCGTCGGTTGTCTGGCCTTTCTCTGTGCCCAATTCTCTCTCGCACGCTTACTTGGCCGCGAAAGGCAATAAGGGTACTTAAGGTCATTACGAAGGTGAAATTTGATAATCAACTTCAGACACGACAGAAAGGCTGCACGTCAGAAACGATTGCTGTGACAAACTCGTTCCCGCACTGGCAGGCGAGCGAATGGAACAAAAAAGTAGGAAAATAATAACAAGGACTTGGGCGCGTAATTCTATAGCCCCTCTTGCATAATGAGACACAAAAAGAGTGGCGAATTGCGCACTAGAACACTCCTGTCTCTCCACGCAGCGAAAGAAATTTATTTCCCTGCGCCCTTTCCCCGAGCTTTGATAAATCTTTTCCCACCGCGCCTCTCTGCATAATTCGATTTGGTCGGGATGTATGCGTGCCAGGTACCTTCATTTTTATTCCTCGGGCAGGCTGAATTTTAGCAGTGCTTTTAGATCGTGTAGACGGCATTTGTCTAAGAAGATAAATCCATTGGCTGCACTGCTTTTTGCTCTCAACCCTCTTTCGCTCCCTTGTCAATTTTTCCACAGCAGCGTCAAAGAACGCGATATTGTGCGGAGCGCCCGATAATATTTCCACACATCGGGACCGTACGAACATTTTCAGTATATATTATCCGAGTATGCCTCTCTCTCAACAAGAGACGTCGGCTCGGATGGCGTAACACTCTGCTCTCGGTTATATATGTGAGCATGTTTTATTCATACATCCACATTTTACAACTTGACTCCTACGTAAATAAAATCAAAATATATCTGCAGAAGAAATTCCACTCCACTTAAACCTGTTTACTTTCATCCGCGACATTTATCACGCCACTTGTGCTGCCGACTCCTGCTTTCAAGTACGCCACTTGATGCGAGCGAATTTATCTAATTAGGTGGCGATAAAGAGGCGCATTTTTATTTATTTTCCCTCCGCATACTTTCTCTGCGCGCGTGCGTCTCTCAATGTTTACCGCGGTGCGATCTACTTCTCGCCCAACTAGTTTCAACACACATTGGCTTATATTGAATCGAGGCCCTCATTCTTCTTTTCCGAGTCATAGCATAACAAAGAACGTCTCCAGGGATAAGTGGCAGCGGCCATAATGATGTTTTGAAACAATTTATTAATTTCCCGCAGTTGTTTTGCAATTCACTGTTTAGTCACGAATTCGCCGGCAGAAAAGTGCACTTCGCGGAACGAGATACGCTTTAATAGTCCGGAGCCATCGTCTTTTTCTCTTGACGATAATTACTGGCGAACAGAGACGCGTCTAAAATAATTACAGAATAAGGGTCTTGACTTTGTTGGAAATAAAACGAGCTCGCCGTAAATGGAAGCTCTGAAAATGAATTAATGAGCGGCGGCGGCAGCCGACCGACCAGCATTATATTGTTTTGTATTTATATTTCAACACCAGGTGTACGCGCGTGTATACTTGAATGTTGCATTAAAAGCACACCTAGTGGCTCGCTGTAAAGTAATTATAATACGTTTATGTACGCGCGGCGGTGAGCCACTTTTGTGTATAAATAATTTTTTATATAGAGAGTGCGGCGCTAATATAAAAGAGCGCGGCGGCACGGCGTAATGATCAAAGTTTCATTTTAGTAGGCGTGAAAGGTTGTAAAAAGTGCGAGTACACCAAACCACCCTGCACAAGCCCTCACTCGCTCGCCACACGCCAAAGGTGTTGCTATCTCACACTCTCTCGATATTAGAAGCGACCCTCAGTCGGCGAGTGTGTAATGAAACTACCTCTCAGTTGTTGGCTGCTGCCGTGTAATCTGCTGCAACTGTTATTTTTGTGGCAGATGTGCGGTGAAAAAATTGGTTCACTAAATATTATCGCATTACTCTCTGCGGAAAGCCAGTATAGAGAGAGCGCGGAGGGAGAACTGGTGCCTTTGGCTACAGTCACGCTGTGGTTTTGGTTTATTTGGCAGAAATATTATTTTAGCGCTTTAAAGTGGTTTATAAACAAGGACTAGAAATTCAAAACGTCAAGTTTCGTTTCCGGGAGCTAAAAAAATGTTGATTTTAAACATAATTATACTACAACAATTGTATTTAATCATATTTTAGAACGGCAATTGATTTAATTATTGAATAAATTTTAAATTAATTTTGGTAATCAAAGAATCTATCTTTGCACAGTTTTATTAATAACCCCTTTTTTATGCTCTTGTACTGGTTATTAATAAAAATTATAATATTTTTGATGATTTAATATAAAGTTTATTTTACCAATATATGAATAAATCTGAAAATTAACCAATTCAATTCACTGTGTAACACAAGATTACACCGCATCACAGTGCCCGACAAAAAACGAGCTCCCATATCATGATTTAACGGCGGATAAATATTCTCTTTTAATAACGCAACACGGTGTGCACTGCACTCACCGGTGGTTGCCCCGACTTCCAATCCATGCGAGTCGTGAATAAATATCGCGTATCGTATATTCATAATAGTCAGTGGCGAGCCACCTGCCTCGTTCATTTATGCCACATATCGTGTGGCAGATTTTTAAGGCCCACCAAGCGTCACATCCTGCATCACTTCCCGTCTTTTTCAGCCGCAAACTGCTTTAATAAAACCCACGAAATCGTGTACATTCGCAACAAGCCATTTGAATAAAAATATATATATTAACGGCGAGTGCAAACGGCAAGCGTTATTTCTTTCAACTGCATGTGTACAGCAGGAAACAGTTAAGCAAAGACAACGTGGATGGATGTGTTGAAGGAACGCGGCGGCATCGAGGTTAAAAAATCGGGTCAATTTAATAACACAGCAGCGGCATTTGCTCTCGAGAGAGGAGGCAAAACGTCTCGGCGACGAAAATACACTCGAGAGCTAATATTCAGCAGCATCTCGCAGCGTGCTCGCTTTTTGACTTGCATCACGCCCGATTGTATGCAAATCTCTGCTCGAAAGTGATTCGAATAAACCGGCTCGTTGAGGTCAAACCTGCTGCTCCTCTCTCGAATCGCCATTTACGCAATCCGAGTGGGCCGCCTGACCTTTCTTCCGACGGCTGTCGTCCTCAACCGTGAACGATAAGGCGGCGCCGAAATCGAGCAGCTCTTTTAAAGGGACTAATATTAAATCCGATCGCACGGCAGCAAAACTTTTCGAGACCTTGGAATATTAAAATGTGCAGAAGTTTGATTGTTCGCAGCCTTGTGCCAAAAGCTATAAAGCCGTTCTCCCTCTCCACTGCGGCCGCACATACAACTTTTCGCCTCTCTTATTTTAAAACGAGCAAATTGCTGTGCAAATTTATTCAGCACCGCTGTTTGCTGCGTTTTGTTCTTGCTCCATGCATAACTGTTTGCCTCGAAAAGGGGCACGACTGAAAAGTAGTTTTTCACAAACGCATTATTTTCATATTATTAGCAGCCATGAAATTTTAGTGCTGCATCTTTTATTACGAGCTCCAGTTGCTCTCTTAAATCGTTGTTTTGCGACCATAAAATTTATTATTATTACTGTACATTTCTATCTCATCTTTGTGTGTGCGCCAGTATGTAAGCAACAGAGTTAGCGAGTGCGATGAAGTGCGCTTTTTGCAGCTGCGAGATAATACGCTGCTCTCGCTGAGCCGTGCACAAGTGACTGACTTTCGGCACAAAAAGTACGGAGGGAATTCAAATCCAGGCCAGCCACTGCATTTCAAAATGAGACCGAGCCATTTGATTGCTTCCTTTTCCAATGGCAACTGTGTATTAGTTTTTATTTTATTTTTGCATCCTTCACTCGAAAAACTAGACTATTGCAACATATTTTTCTGGTTTAAAAAAAATTAAATTAAAAAGTGCAATGTTTTAAACCAAATTTTCAAATAATTTAGAGTTTGTTTTCATTTCTGTATAGATTGCGGTATCTAAATAATATACATCATTCTTTTTAAATCTATACAATTTTTGAGCAAGCTGTTAGTGTAGTTGTATGAGTAATTGCGCTTGGCGAGATATGAAAAATGGCCCATCATCTTCTCGTTGCGCGTCGGTACTTGTATAATCCCTGCTCTCTTCGGCCGGTATATAATAATTATTATGGATTCGAGAGGCCCTTTGGCCCCAGCTTAGATTATTATACCAGCAGCGGGCGGGCGGGCGAGTGAGTGAGTATATTACCAACGAGGAAACAATGGAGATTTATGACACTGCTGAAGCACCTCGAGAGGCGGACGAGAAGAATTATACCTGCCCGGGCACGCTGAATAAAAACGATTAAATTATTAAAAAGGTTCTAATGGCACTTTTATGTTTGTTCCTCCGGTGCACACAGAAAGGGGAATCCTCTTGCATATTTTTTTCCTCCCAGCTGAAGAATAAAAATTGTGTTTATATGTTTGTTTCTCTGGGGAGAAGAGCGCGCGCGAGAAAGAAATTACTTTACAGCCGTGCACTTAATACAATTCGTATATATGCATGAATTTATAATATATTTGTACATCCACGTTCTCTCTCCTCGGCGAGGCCGAGCCGTTGCATGCATTCATGTGTGTTTTGTAACAGGTTTTTCCTCGTCCAGCTATACGTTCGCCGCGCACCTTTAGCGAAGTCAGCCCTATCTCTGCAGGCAGTAGCTCGTGCCCCACCACGTATTCACCTTGCCTCGAACTTTTAAATGTAATCACTTCAAGATACAATATCAAGTTATACACACGGCCGTTGCTATTATAGTGTATATTAAATTTA